AAATCATGGCAGATCAATTAACCAACCCCTAGCTTACATAGTTATTGTACAGCTTGTTAAGGATAGCAACAGGCTGTCCTTCAGCCATGTACCAACCAGCTAATTTCTCTTTTATGATACAACAAGCCTCATGAATAGTTGTAGTACAGTGCACATAACAAATTATCTGAACCAATAGATTTATTGTCATATCTGTGTATTGTAATTACATGTATTTGTGTACTAACTGCTAACCTCAGGCTTTAGTTATTATTTATACTTAGTAGATACAATTTTGATATGTCTATACCACATTACACGTGTATATACATTATATGTACATACATGTACATTATACATTTAGATCACCTTAGCATTCAGCAACATGTGCATGTAAAGTTTTCTATTATTTTGTCCACGATGCAAGTTAGTTTTATTACTTTTATATGAGATAGTGTGATCATTAGCTGATTATTTGTTATACAGGTTGATAATGTCACTGCCACCATTCAAAAAGGTATAATGTTGGGACTCAGGCCTGTACTGAATTAAGACATTAACAAGATTCAAGAAATTGTTGGAGATATTGAGATATCAGCCACTGCAGGAGCTCTCACTATTGAAGGAGAAACTGAGAGCTTCTCTGAAGCATGTTATGAAATTGTGAAGACTCTTAAGATGTATGTGTGCATAATTTTTAACTTACTTATTCTTCCTTACCCTTCCTCTCTAAATCTTTAATTTATTCTCCCCTTCTCTTAGGCTTGTTGATGATACTTAAGCTTCTTGTAAGCAGTGCTGATGATACTCAGCCTCAGGAGCTGTTAGCTGAAGCAGCCAGTAAAGCTGTCACCACTATGCAAACTGAAGCAAATCAACTCAAGAAAGTAGCTTCATCACTTACCTTTGATCATGTTGAGGCTCAAGTTAGTTTCTCTAACCTTTTATTCTCACAATCCTTATAATTCTTAATTTGTTTTCTATAGTTGTTATTACTTAATGGTATAAGAGATGTTGCTAATGCTCTGGGCCTCTGGCTGATCTCATTGATGCCACTCAAGTTGTTTGGGGTAAGAGTGTCAGTTACCCTTCTATAGAGAACCTTAAAGAAATTGCTAAGGTAAAGGAACATTTGAATTCTTATGCACTTGATGGATCTCCCTTCTTCCTCTCTTTTCCTAAGAAAATGGTTGGTAAAGCTAGTCGATTCTTAAAAACAGTTAAGAATGTTCAAAATGAGGCTGCTTAGGGCGTTCAATTGCTTGAAAAGACCATTGACTCCATTGAAAGTGACCTTGTGGTAAGGCTTTGACATGTACATACTAATATTATAATTAGTATAATTGACAATTTGTTTATTACAATAATTATTGTGTTACATTGTAAATTACATGTTTTATTGATCTATTATTTGTATAAATCCTTTAGGAATTCCAATCTTCTACTGAAGCCACCACAGTTAGATAAAGCTAAAGCTACCCCAGAGAAACTTCTCCAAGTCACCCAAGCCATTGCTCTTGCCTCCTCAAAAACTGTCACAGCCGGTAACAGCTGCAAGCAGGTTGATGTATCAGTAGCTGCTAATCTCAGATACCAAGCTGTTCATGATTAGCAAAGCAGTTGCACAGAACTTTACACAGACTAAAGAACAGACTGAAAAGTAATGTTATAATTGTATAGTGCTTTAATTTAGCAGAGTTGCATTTTAGTGATTGGTGATCTGCTTTCCTATATTATACCAATGCAATATTATTATATTAATTATCTTAATTTACCCAGTAATAATTATTAAATTAGTGACCACCAAAATGTGAATGTGCTAAAATAAAGCAAATTTGAATTATAATGGTCTAAGACTGATACATGTACATGTATAAGGTTTATGATATGCTATCACATCAAACTGACTCACATTAATAGGCAAATCAAAAAGTAGTAAAAATTTAATTTTAATTTAATTGTTATTATTGGTAATTTTAGTTTTATTATTATTTATTCATTATTTACAGGTGTAGGGTCATGGCCTGTTGTAAAGAATGTACCATTGCTTATAAAGCTTTGCTGCAGTTCCTACATCACATTGTACTTAAAGCAGATGATTCCTCAATTCATGTTAAGCTCCCCTCATTCACAAGAGAGGTTGCTAGTGCTGTCAGTGACATTGTTAAGGTTACCAGTGAGCTTAAAAGGAGCTGGTTTCATTGATATGAGTAATCCTGAGGTCGGCAGAACTGAACAAGAACTCCTTGCAGCTGCCACCTCTATTAAAGCTGCTGCCAAAAAACTTAAAGAATTAAGGGTTGCACCAGTAAGTACATGTGTTGATGTGTCTTTCAAAATTGTTATTGTTTCATTTCTCACTGATTCAGACTATATTGATGCTCATCTGAATTTTGATGCTCAGATCCTTGAGGCTGCCAAGAGCATTGCAGCTGCCACCAAAAGC